GCTGGGAAGGTCAGCCAGGCAGAACGGTTCTTATGTGTATGGGAAGGAATAATTTATCCTTCAAACTTTAATCCTTAAGAAGCAAGTTCTTTGGGGGGATTTTGCAGGAAAATGAAGGTTAGTGGCAAGTCTCCAAGCAAGCACTTATCAGAGTAGTGGAGAAGTTGATTAAACAGAATCACATGGTAGAAAATAAGCTGAGCACACGATGCCTTTAGTTTTATGCTCACTTAAGGCGTGAGGCTCATAACCACCAGGAGCTTTTCAGTGCCTGAGCCAGGGCACAGGCAAATGTTGCAGAGACAACATGATCAAAGAGCAATGATGTACCATTTCCACAGCGGCAGCCAACACTAAGCTCCTTTTTGCTATTTGGCCTGGAATAAGTCAGCATTGGCCTGGAAGATTGCTGAACTAGAATAAAGCCCTAGCTTTGGGGAAGTGTGAACAGGACTGCCTGGAAGTACCCAGGTAGGTAACTGAAGGAGTGCAGCATCAACCCACGGTGCTCACGTACGCCAGGGAGCAACAAAGAACTGGCAAGTCACTGCTTGGTTTAGAAGAGAACACAGGGTGCATTAGGACTGCTTTGTACCTTTAGGAGAGGGTGAGTTAGGACCCTGAGTTGGGTCACCATGTGAGAGATCGGCATTTACTTCTCTCCAGTGCCTCACACTTCTGTGGCATTTGCTAGTTTCCATACCTGGGATCACCTGCTGTAGACTGCAGTTATAGCTCTGAGGTGGTGGGAGGACAAACTCTTTCATGTTGCTGTAGTTCCCAGTGTTTCTTCGATGGTGACCGTGTAAGACTGCAGCTAAAGCTCTGAGGTGGTGGGAGGACAAACTCTTTCATGTTGCTGTAGTTCCCAGTGTTTCTTTGATGGTGACCGTGTAAGACTGCAGCTAAATATTCTGTATGTACAGTGAGCCTACAAGGATGTGCTGTAAGATCATCTTTAGCATATCAACCATAAGCATATTAACTCAGATGTTTTTTTTCTGTCTCCATCTCATGCTCTCCTCAAGCAGAGTGCCCAGAACATGCTTGTGGCCATGTTACTTTAAAGCTGAATGTGTAGACGCGTGCTTTATATTATAGCAGTGTCACTGACCTGACAAATGCAGGCATCTGAGCTGAAACTGTGATCCTGTTGCTGTGTACTGTGAGGGATGGAGCACAAGAACAGGGGAAGGAGGGAGAAGGGCTCAGTGTTTCCTGGTTACAGGCCAGGTCAGAATTATCTGGTGTTCTAGAGAGACCTCTGCTTTCTTCCTGCTCCAAGCATCGCTGGGCAGCGGGGGAAGCAGGCTGTGCCTCAGCACAGCCGGTCCCCCTCCACAGGTCATGACTTGGGCAGCAGTTGGCCTGGGTGATCAGTGAAATTAAGCTTAGCTACCTGACATGCTGTGCACAGCCCTCAGGGTAGTGACATGGGGGTATTGGGCAAGATTAGAAGAGTTCAGTAGGAAAGAGATGGTCCTTTCAAGGATGGAGTGACAGGGAAGAAAGGTGCTCCTGTCCAAGCTGGCTGTTATGAGATCCCCAGAGCTGCCTTGCAGGCGTGAGGCAAAACGGAGCTCACTGATTTCTGAGGCTCCCTCTCACTCCAGCCGGGGCACCAAACCCCCTTGCACGCCCACCTGTGAGCTATATCCACGTGCACCTTTGCTTTGAGCTCTCCTGAAAGTATCAAAGGGACTTCCCATGTCTGAAGTGTTTTCTTAGAGCTAAAAGTTGCTTTTTAGAGAAAGAAAACTCAGCTCTGATGGGTGATAAAGATTAAAATAAATTATTTGGAAACAAAGTTCCCCTCTTCCTCCACTTAATCCAGTAATTTTTGGTGCCTGCCTACCTGTCAGCAAACTCTGCACAGCCTCCTCTGGAAAGTCTCTGTCTCCTGCTGTCTCTCACAGCCAGCTCTGGCTGTTCTCTGTCTTCTCTGGGTCCTCTGCTCTGCAAACCTGCCACTGGCTGCCCCTCTCTGTCCTTCACTCTCTGCCTGCCCCACTCTGCCTGCAGGAGGTTTCTCCCAGCTGCTCCTTCCCTGAAAGCAACTTTTGCCACCCCACGCGCATCTTCTGGAATATCCTGCCCTGGCAAAGCAGCAGCAGGTCCCTGCTGCCTGGAGGTGCTCATGAGCACTGGCACCTTCCACACCCGCTGGGGAAATCAGCCTCTGCCCTCCTGCGGGGCAAAGGGGTACCCTCTCCTGCCAGTGGGTTTGAGGCATTCCCCCGTGTAACAGAGGGACACAACCCCCCCCCCGTGGTTTGTGCCACACACCTGAGCAGGCAGGGCCTGTGGGCGCCCACACCTGGTGTCACTGCAGCTGTCCTGCAGCCCAAAGAGGGGTCAGCACTACATGCCCCAGCAGTGAACTTCCACCTGAAGAGACCATGAGGACACAAGCCAGTTGTATTTTCAGTGCTGCCCCGTCTGTTGGTGAAGGGAGCAGCCACAGACAGATCCCACCCCATCATTTCTGTGCCTCTGCTTCCTTGCTCTTCTCGTGACTGCTTCTCCCCTTGCCTGTGCACTTTCTTCTCCGGCTCCCTCACTCTGACATGCGCACACGCAGAGCTTGCCAAGCAAGCATGTAGCACAGGAGCATGCCCCACATGGGCCTTGGTTTCTCTTCAGGCCTTACTGTGTATAACTCCTTGCCTTGGGCAAGGACCACTTTATTCTCAGCTCTCACTACAGCAAGGGTGGTTTTCTCTTTCTACTTGGTCTGAAAGCAGAGTGCAGAAAGTACACAGTGGCTTTTAGTCCTGTGGCTGTGACCTGATCACAGACCAACCTGACAGGCCATGGCATCTCTCATTAACAGCACTTTCTCACAGGAGCCCTTCAGCACTACCAGGAGCCCGGTTCCCTACTCAGTGACTGGCTCTCACTTCATCTCATTCTCTCTTTCTTGACAGATCATGTTATAACCTATGATCACAGAAAGTCCTGATCCTCACGTTTCTCTGCTGTCACCTGTGGGCTCCTCCAGAGCCGCGAAGAAGGGGGAACTCCAGCCCCACCATGAGAAGACTGGGTGAGAAGTGCCTGTGACACCTTGGGGAGCAGCCACACCTTGAGAGCTAGTTTTAATTTTTATTTTTAGCAATTATGAAGGACGGAAATAATGTTCTCCATTCAGTGGTGATCCACAGCAGCAGCTCTGCCTTCCCTCTCTGGGATTAGATTAGAGATAGTTTCATTAAGGCAGGGAAAATATGCTAATTTGAACTACTCTAAGCAAGGGGTGAATCAAGCTACCAGCGAGTTACGAAGATTGGCTTCCAGACAATATACTGCCTCAGACCTCTCCTCAAATGGAAGATGTCTGTTGGTGCCTTACATGGTTAGATGCCTGAGGTGTCTTATCCTTCAGGGAGTAACAAGCCTTTTCATTCCCCTCCTGGTCAAGGTGGCTGTGCTGCCTGAATGGTTGGCAGTGTGTGGAGAACCTAGCTGCACTACAAAGCAAACAGTCTGGGCTGTAACTTGCATGGTCTGTCTTGCTTTACCAAGACCTCTTCCTGGGTGTTTAACCTGGTTGGTTCTTGCCTGGCTTGTTTTTAGAGACCAGTGCCCCACCATCCCAGCTCTATGTTGCCCTTATGAATCTCAGGCTAACCCCATATCCCCTGCCCAATCTTGTTCTCCTTTACATATGGCACTCACTCGTTCCCTTTGCCTCTGGTTGCCAAGGGAGGGAGTGGACAGGGCTCTAGCAGACACTGATGTCTTATGTGACTGCTGGCAAGTCCATGAGGTCTAAATCCTTAAGAGAAATTTGGAGTCTTTTTATACAAAATAAAAAGACGCCCCTTCCACTTCCAAGGATGACCTAGACACTTAGGCTACATCCTGCTGGCCCAAACTGAAGTTTTGGGATTTAATTCTCCGCGTTGCTCTGAACATGTGATTTAGTCACTTAGGTTCCCTGGGCCTTACAATGCTGAACAAAGATCACAGGAACAGCCTTGGAGACCACACCTTCTCTTTCTGGGCCTCCACTGAGCTGTTATGGGGGGATGATCATTTGGGCCTGTTGCTAAGGGGTCAGGAGGGTGCATTTGTGAAAGTCTGTGGGTGCCTCTGTCTCTGCACTGGAAAGGCCTTGGAAATGCTTGGCTACCAGTCACTAAAGTGTATGCATCTTCCCTGTGAAGGGTAAATCAGAGCACTAAGGGGCTGCAGTGTGACTTTCAGGGACAAAACCACCACCACTCAGCCGCCTTCTTCCTCCTTGCTCCTTGAGCCTTCCAGGAAACCACACTGTCATGTCATCCCTTCCCACCCCCAGCCTCCTCCTTAACCCCCACACTCTTGTCTGCACCCCATTTGAGGGAAAGAACCTCACTATCTCTTGTAAACCTCCCATCTCCTTAGCGCTGCTGTGTGAGTAAGCTGGGCCGGCAGCAAGCACTTCTGAGTATTCGTCACTAGAGTTGAGCAGTGTTACTGTGAGGGAATTGCTGAGGATAGGTAGGATAAACTTCTCCAAAATTCAGATGGGTGGTGTAAGGCCACTGTTGGCTTGGCTAGAGATGGAAAAGATTCCCTGCCCCAAGCTCCATGGCTCATCTCCTAGTTATGCTGCTCTGTTTCTACCCAAGCTGTTGGTGTTTGGCTTCTGCATTCCCTGGAAGCAGGCCTGCTATTGCATCCTGCAAGTCATCACCAGGCTGCTTCAGTAACTCATCTTTCCTTCCATTCACAGGTCTTCTACGCATGGCGACTCAACCCATGTGAGAGGTCTCTTATGTGAGTACCCAGCAGCACACTTTGCTGTCTGTGGTCTGTGGACATTGACTGGCACCTAAGCGACACCCCAGCTCCCTCCTCTCCCCCTAGATGCCACTGTCTTAGAGCCTCCATGTGCATTTGCTATGACATACATCAGTGTTGATGAGAGACAGGAACACTGCCGGGTGATCTTGAGCTGCCAAAATAATCAGCTCTGTGCACAACATGGCTTAAAGGATTTTTTGGTTAGCAGTATGCATCCACTAAAGAACCTAGACACTCATATTTTTTCTGGGGACTTCCACACTCTAGGCTCCTGCCACACAGGCAAGGCACCTTTGGCCAGTCCTGTGGAAAAACGGATGTATCGGAGCGTGGAGAACCTTCACTGGGCAACACCTGCTGACTCTGGGCTGTATTCTCACTGCCGGAGCCTGGATAACGAGATCATCTTTCGCTATAGAGGCACCAGTCAGTGGACAGAAGGCTGTGTGGATGTGGCCCCAGTACAGAGCACATCGGACTCTCTGAGAAACCTTTCTCTCCATGCTAAACAGACATCTCAATCAGCACAGAATGTGCTCCTCCCTCCCTTTGCCAAAGTGCCTCAGTGGCTTTTCCCTTCTGCAGAGGAAAAAGCCCTACACGGGGATGCCAAAAAAGAGCTGAAGGAGAAGCTGAGGCTGCACAGCAGTAAAGTGGCAGAGCCCTGCAAGCCAGTGCGTCCACAGGCGGCCCTGCCTGACCTGATGGCCCGGGAGTTTTTTGAATGCCAGATGTGCCGGCAGTACAAGAACGGTTGTGCTGTCAACTGCTGCATGGTTTTGGTGGAACACACTGCTCTCAGGCACAGCCTCACAGGGAGGCAGAGACTGTGTTTTGCACACAGGATCATCAGTCCAGAAGACATCAAGCAGGAGGCTCAGAGGAGGCTTCAGCTCCGAAGGCAGAACAGCTCCCCCAATTTGCCCCTTCAGCATGCCGGGGAAAGCCATGAGATGGCCAAATGCAGAACAGCAGAAATCCTGGAACAATATAATGGGGAAACAGATGTCAAAGCCACATTGGGACAGAGCAAGAAAGGCCGCTGCAAAGGGAGGCTGTACATACCCACCTTTGAAGAATTCAAGCGAATGAGAAGTAAGGAGGCAAATTCATCTGCCAGAAGCAGTGGGCCAACAGAGTGCTTGAATAAGGGTCTGCCAGCAAACCAGACCCTGGAGGAGGAGAAAAATAAGAACGTCTGTCCAGAAGCTCTGGGGACCAAAGCTGTGAATGAAGCTGCTGTCACAGCGGAGGATGACGACGATGTGTTCCATGAAAACCACACCTCTGCTGGCTTTTCCCAATATTCAGCCACATGGGATGGTTTCAGAATGAGCAGCCTTGAGGTGAAGGACAGAACCTTCCAGATCTCCAGCCCGGATAGATCCCTGGTCCCCATTTGCTCTAGCCCTATTCCACGATCACCTTTGCAGGCAGTAGCAATACACAGAGCTGGGCAGGAGATCTTCAGTGATGAGCAGCAGAAAGGAGAGACAAGACAATTAAATGATGTCCTCCACCTTGCAGGGCAGTCGCTGGCTTCTGAAGCCCAGTCCTCTTGCTGTTCATCGCTGCTGTTAGAAGCCACAGACTTATCCAGCTATGGAGCTAAACTACAAAAAATGAAGGATGAATTCATAGGTTCAGCCCTGGAACTTATTAAGAAAAGGTAACATGCTCTGTGGGGTCACCTGAAAGCAGTTCCCTTGTTAACAATCTGGTCTCTCTTCTGATATGTACATTTAACTCCTGTAGCATAAATACGCTGTCGGCAGAGCCTTTCATCTTAGGGTCTCTGATTGATAGCCACATGGACGTGTCTTTAAGCTGTTGAACTTAAACTCCACCTTTGCATGGGATTAAACATCAAAAGCATTTTCATCTAGACTTTGCCTTTTTGTACACCTTAATCCTGTCCAGACAGCAGCCATTAATAGTCCTGACACCCAATTTCCCACCCATTTTATTTCTGTAATAAATTCTTGAAAGGTTTTTTTTTTTTAACACCTTTTAAAAATAGAGGACAGCAGAGGGATACAAAGTACTAAGATGATTCCTTTGAAAAAAGGTGTAGAGTCTGTCCCACCACTGCAGAACATGAATTTAGGTAGTGTGACATGCAGCAACAAGTGCTTTCACTTGTGGCCCGTACGTACTGAACTGGCAAACAAATGAGAGCAAGATTGCTGCTATGAGCCTTTAACCACCCTCTGGAGACCAGTACAGGCAGCAAGTGAAAGTACTCACAAATACTGTCCTTCTGCCTACTCAGACAGCATAAGTAGTGACAGAAAATACTTGTGTAAAGCCTTCCTCCCTCTTCTCCAACCAGGGTTTTCCCCTTCTCTGGGTAAGATGTTCAAAAGGACTGCTTTCTCTGTCCTGGTTTTGGACACTGCAGTCCTGTTACCTCCCTCCTGCCAAAGAAATGGGGATCTCTTTCTATGCAAGCAGGTGGCCCAACAGGAATCAGCAAAGTTCTGGAAGCTAGGAATTTGGGGCAGTTATCCCTGTCTTATCACTAAATAAGGCTGATGGGAAAATGAGGAGTAAGTGTTGGTGGAGTGGTTTGTTTCCATACGCTTGGTGTTCAGGACTGGCTTCGCAAAGAATTACATTTGACTTGGTTCCTGGCTGCTTCTGACGTCCACAGATGCGGTGTGTGAAAAGCCAGGGCATCAACCTCGTACACTGGCTTGGTATTTCTGGAATGCTAGAACTCTGAGACTGGACTCGGGTTTTAGAGGAGATGATAGTGACTTCTGCACAGGAATGAGAGTTGTCTGAAAGAACTTCTGTGGAGCTGAAGCTCCCCATGTAGGCAGAGCCAGAGTGACAAGCAGAAATACTTCTGCAACTTTATAATCCAAAGGGAAGTAGGTGGTGTCAGAGCCCTAAATGCTTCCTTCAGCTGTCCAGCCCAGCCTTTGTGCCTTTGTTCTAGAGTATGAAAACCCAATGAAGAAACAGATGAGAAAGTTATGGTATGCAACCATTTTCACTGAGTAGGCTATTTTTATCATTGATGTGAAATGAAATACACAGAATGGCACAAGCCGTGAGAACAGCATAAGAACAGCTGTCTCCGGGCAGATCAAAGGTTTGACTAGTATCTGGAGCCTCAGGTGCATGCATAGCAAAGTATACAGGAACTGGGTAGTGCATATGATCTTTCTTCCTACTACTCTTCCAGCCTCCAAACACTTTCTGCCCAGGGCCTTTATGGTTTCAGTGTGGTTTCTGGCTTTTAATATCTGCAGTGTTTTTTGTTTCTGTGAATATGTTCAGTCTCCCTAGTTGGATTTGTTAAAATATGTGAGGTGATTTTATTAACACCAAAATGGTAATTGATCTAAAAATTAGAATGACAGTGGTTCCAGTATTAGAGAGGTTGTTTCATGTGAAGGACTCACCCTGGCCTGTTTATTTTCCATAGTAATAACAATTAATGGTAAAGGTTGTCATTTCTTCAGGATAGCAGGAGAAAGACAAATCTGTTGGCAGTGCCAAAGTACTGGTTAGTGGGAAAATCCCATTTCCTTTATCGGGAAATTTCTCAATTTTCCATCATTTTCACCCGAGACTGTAAAGTGCCTGAATATTCATTTGTTACTCAAGCTGATTCTCACTGCAGAGGTTGGAGACTCTTTGTCTGGATGTTTTGGATCCTAAATTATGATTGCTGACATCCAGGCCACATTTTTTCTAAGTCTCAAATTAAATGAGCTGAAAGCTGGGGATGTGGTCCCATTTCCACAGATACTGAGCTCAGCAAGCCTTTGATAGAGATGTTGTGATGGAGCGTCACAGAATAAGATAGCTGAAATTGTCTTCTCTTTCTCGTGTTTCTGTGTAAGTGTTACAGTTTTACAAAGCAGTTTTGTCTGGTAAGTTAACTGCCTCCCTAGTAATTCATAGTTAATTACTTAAGACTCATTCAAATGGCTTAATATTTCATCAGTGAAGATTTGATTTTCAGCTTCATAATTATGGCGGCTTTAGCCGCCTCATAGGTCACTGGATACCTTTAACTTAGGTTGTAGTCCTGGCGCGGAAGGGGTGTTGAGATGTAGGTGGAAATTCTGTACACATTTCAATATATAATCTACTTTCTAAACTTGTTTAAGCAGCGAATTGTTCAGGGTAAGGACGTGCAAGGACCTGGGGTTCCTGCCTATGAAATGGGGGACAAGGTGACAACAAAAACCTGCACAAGGAAGCAAAGGACATGACTAAGAAAGAAGGCTTCCTGAAAAGAATGATGGGGTGTATTTGGGATGACACTGGGATGGTGGATACAGTAACAGCTTCCTATAGCAGAGGACTCCAAGTCTGAAAGGCAGGTGCCAGCAGGGAAGGAGTGCACAAAAATGTTTCCGTTAGTCAGAAGGAGTCAGGAACATGTGGAAAGGGCTGAGAACTGCTGGCCTGGACAATGATACAACCATGAAGGATCCCATAGAGACCGTGAAGGAAAGCAGGTGCATTTCCAGTTGTACACCACACATCCAGTGCCTCTGCTTCCATGAAATGATGGCCCAGAGATTTAAAAGGACATTCAGAAAGAACCTGTCCTCCCTGTGCTGGCCCAAGCGTGTCATCTGTCTTGGAGAGAACAGGGAAAACCAACCCCAGGCAGGAAACTCCTATTCCAATAAGTGATTTGATCCCATAGAAGGAAACATGCCAGAGTTCCCCCTTCTGCAGCTCTGCGTAAGAGCAGAGGGGACTGCTTGAGCAGGCATTGGTGTAGAGCCGTTGGCAGCCCGGATCTCTGCCAGGGGGAGGGGACTGGAGGAAGCGGCAATATCCCTTTTTCTTGGCAATGATGTCCCCTCTTCCTCCTAAGCCAGGGACAAAGGTTAAAGGAGCAGCCCTAAGTTTTGGTTCTACAAAACTGCTTGTATCCTCCCTGTTTTGTCTACATCCCTCTGATCAGACTGGTGGTGCGGTGCACAGCAACTACTCTGTGGAGCAGCACTTACCCTCACACGGCATGGCCAGTATCATCATGCAGGAGGGATCTAATCACAACTAGAAGTAGAGCAGTCAGGCCAGGGATGAAGAAATGTCCTTTCACACAATGTGGGTGCTGCATCATTGCCTTTCTTACCTCTAACTGACCAGCCATGGGGTGGGTTGAATTTCTCAGTCTCCAGTCACGCTTCCTTAGCTCAGCTCTCTGGGTAGCATTGGCTCTTATTCCCACTGCAGGTCACGTCTGGAGATTTTTTAAAAATATCCCTTGGGTTAATAATAACAATAACCATTGGGTTATGGAAACCACAATAAGCAATGGCATCTGGTCAGCAGACCTTATCAGCAGAGACCTACTGTCAGCTTCGCTTAGAGAAACAGTAATACTCTGGAGTACTTTCCATGTTTAAGTGAATGATCTTGAAGCACTGTAAAAATGGCAAATGAAAACTCAGCTTCTCTCTGAGAGTATGGTCTGTATGGTGGGAGGTGGTGTGATCAAGAGGAGAAGATAATATTCCGGTTCTGAGCTCTGCTACTGACCTTGGACACATCCCGTTGTCTCTCTGTGCCTCAGCATGGTCCCTTCTTTCTGCATGTTTCAACCAGAAGCTGTTTGAGCAGGAGCAGCTTTTGGAAATGGTGGTTTTCTGGCAGTGGCAGATCCTCTTCAAGAGGTTTCTTGCTCCTTAACCTCTGCCTTTACTCCCACAGGTGTGCCCAGCTGAACTGTTCATACTTTACCCAACTCAATGAAACGTTGATGAAATGGTCTGGCTGGGAATACATGAGGGAGGATATTTTTTTAAACCCAGGTCATTTCAAGACTGATTTTAGATCATGGCCACACAGACAGTTACACTGGACCAGCTGAAGGAGTGGTGCCCCAAATGTGGCTGGGGACAGGAGGGAGGAAGGAGACAGGAACCTCTTAAGCTGGACCGGGCCAGGACAGTACCATGGTGGGAACACAGCCTTGCTGTGTGCCTGCGCTGCTCTTACTGCAAACCTGTAAGGGGGATAATGCAGTGTGTACTACAGACTGCTCTGTGACAGCGCTGATGTTGGTGTCCCCTTTCTACAGGCTGGGGAGAAGAGGCCTGGCGGGGTGAATTGACACTTCCAAATCCACATGGCAGGGAGTTAGCACAGCAAAAAGTAAAAGCCAGGAGCCTGCTGTTACCATTGTGCTGTTGCTGCGCAGCTGCGGCTAAACTCTTTTTAAGTTGGTAAATCCTCTGGTAGTGTCAGCTGGGACCTGGAAGCATAGATGGAGGAAAATGAAAAAGCATCAGCTGGAAAGTTGCAAACCAACTTTTCTGGCCTGACAACAGACCCAGTTTGTGTTCTGGGAGATTTGTTCCCTCTTCAGCGATTTCAGTGTTGGCTGATGGTTTGTTATTGGAGCCAACTGTCATTCATCTTAAGGAAAATGCCCGTCTGTCTCATGTGTTTGCTTGTAGCTGACAGTGTTGGAATTGCACATTAGCAGTATGACCTACCAGCATAAGTTCACAAGTGAAGCCTTTAAGAAGAAGCAGATTTTTGTCATGGGAGACTTTTGTTCAGCATAAAATATATGCATAACCTGAAATATGTTCCAGACAGGGGCTTCCTCTATGTACAAGCATCCATATCCAGTCCTGACAACCTTTCTTTTTAAAGGAATTGAAGCCCATAAAAATTAAGTAAACCAAAAATGAAAAAAATAATATTCTTCCAAGTAGGCTTCATTATGCATGGAAATAAGGTGTCTTAGAGAGTCTGTTAAAAAAAATGTATCACAAGTAGTATGACAAACTACAGCCTGTCAACTGCACTGTCAAGTCAGTGGTTTTGCACCAGACTGTGTCTGTCTGGAGAGGTGGTGTTATCTACAGAGAGGGGAATGTGGGGTTGGAACAGGCTGCCTGTATCAGCCAGGCCAGGCCCTTGTTAGCACCAGACAGCCATGAATAAGAGCATCCCAGAATTGCCAAATGAGAACAACAGACTCTGCCAATCTTTTCAGGACTCTTAAGTGCACCAAAAGGCCTGATCCTGAGTTACTGAAAGCAGAGGGAATCTTTCCAGTGGTTTCAGCGGGCTTGGGATCATATGAGATGAAAAACAGAGGGAAAGCTCATTTAATCCTCTAATCTCTTCAAAGTATTATGGTTTTTAGCAGGTGATTTTCTTCCAGATGAGCAATATGGTTTCTGTGTTGACAACATCTCTTTAAATAGCAGCAAATGTGGATATGGCCTACTTAGAAAGAGGTTTTTCTGGTCTCTATGGCAGAACCTCATGTTTTATGGACACAAAAATACCCTGTTGAACACCCGAGACTTGATATCCCAGACTGATGCTGGCATGAGTGCAATTACCCGATTTGCACTGCTACATTTGAGCTGTGTTTGGAGCCCCTGAAGCACACGCACAGCCATCCATGCCAACCGGTCTAGATTCCTGCCTGCACTTTCCCTGAACTGTTGTGGCTGGTTGTTCGAACCTGGGCTTGCTGCTCAGTCTCATGTGTGTCAGGAACAGCAGGTGAACTGCATACGTGATGTTCATCAGAGTCTGCTTCTTCCCCTGCAGCTGCAATGCTGAGACTGCTGCCAAATCCCCCTCCAAGGGACAGTGTGATCTGAGGGAAGCTGATCTCCCACCTCCAGAGGACAGCCAGCAGCCCACAGCGATGTCCATGGCAACAGAGACCTGGGAGGACAAGCCAAGCAATGAGACATCCAGCGACACACCACCTGCAGGGAATGTAAGGGAGAGGAATTCCCCTCTCATCTTGGGCATGTGTTCAGGATTTTTTTTCTTGTCAGAAGCTCTAAGGGATCCCTTCATTGTAGGAACTGGGCAGGCTGGGAGCCTGGGATCTGAAATTACACCAACTCCCATGAGCTATTAAGCTCTGTTAGAAGCATTTCTAGTGCCTTTCTTATTACAGTTAATGAAACAGGAGTCAGTTTTGTGCCCCTGCCTATCTGCCGCTGCATCTCTTGCAGGGAGTTCAGCAATAATCCCTTCATGGCTTTCAGCGTGCCACCAGCCCCTCATTGCTGGACTGCCCGGGAGATCAGACAGACCCCCCTCCTGGTCCCCACTTGGTCAAACCACTAATGTAGGTAAGGCGTAGAGGCTGGAGCTCCTGACCCTGCAGCGCTGAAACGTTCACAGAACGGGGGCAAGCTAGCTCAGATCCCTGGAGGACAGGCTCAGCCCCCACTTTAGGCCCTTAGCCAGGACTATGCTGTTGACTTCTTCATGGTTATTCGACAGCTATGATCCAGCCACCATGGAGCCACTGTACTCAGAGCTACACAACAGCAAAGGGAGAGGGGTCCTTGCTGTTAGGACTAGGCAAGACAGAGGGACCTGGGGGGACGGATTTCCTAATGATCATGTAGCAGAGCTGCATTTTCAATCCCACTGCTGATGAGTTGCCTTTTCTCTCCTTTGGCAACTGAAGTCCAGTGGCTGCAAACCAGGTGCTGCTTTGACCACTGCCTTGCTCCAACCCACTTGCCTTTCTTGCAGACCCCCAGTCCCGGCTGCCGCCGCTCCAGCTCTGACATCGTCCATGAGAGCACGGATGGTGCCAAGGCCCAGCGGGATTGCCGGCTGCGGCCACACTTCAGTGACCCTATGCCGACAGACTCGGTGAAGAGGAAGCAGCTGGAGCTGAAGATTGCAGCTGCAGCACGGCAGCACGCACAGAAGCGCCGGCAGGAGCGAGACTACGGTACCCACATTCTGCACACTCAGAGGGGGTTGATGGGCCACATGCCGAGCCCTGCTACACTGGTGTAAATATGGAGTGACTCTAATGACCTGGGGGAGGGAAGCATTCTGGGTTTAACCCTAACCCAGGTGTGCAAGAAATCAGGATCTATTCTGCTGTGTCTCTGTCCCTGCCTGGCAGATGGCAGGGGAAGAGAGAGCCCATATGAGTTCACAGGTATGGGCAGTACACGGATGACAGGCCCCAGGCTTCACCTGGGAGCCATTTACTTCTGACTCTCACCAGTCTCAGCAGCAAAACCGGTGGGGAGACAGCTTTCACCCGATCTAGCCTGCCCCCTCCAAGGTTCCTACCACTCATGGCTGTGCCAGCTTGAGCTCCTCAGGTGAGCTCTGTGCAGCTGGCAGTGCCTGTAATGATTTGTGTCTGTTCTCAGGTCCAGTGGTAGCAAAAGCCAACCTTGGCCATGGTGGCAGCTTTGATGAGACCCGCCGCACCCCACGTGGCTCCCTCCGCTCCAGACATCATTGGAGCAATGTCAGCAGCCTGAGCACGGACAGCGGGATTGTTGGCGTGAATGATGTCCGGGATGACCTGGATCCCAGAGAGGCCACCCGGACCAAGTCAGCGGATGTGGAGAGGGCAGATAGTGGCATTGGCCAGATGCCAGCCAGAAAGTGGAGGAACAGGGCATCTGAAACGCTGAGCTCCCTGCAGGCCTGGGAAGCCCACCGTCCCTGCACCGACTGTGGAGAAAGGGACCTCCCAGTGGAGACGGATGTGCAGAACTGCAATCAGAGGCGGGCTGACCTCTGTGAGAAGTGCCGCAAGCGCAGGACAGAGCGCAAGGAGTCTGTGCTGGAGTTTGTCAACACAGAGGCCAGCTATGGAGAGGACCTGCGCATCATCAAAGAAGAGTTCTACCTCCCCATGCAGGCAGCTGGCCTACTGAGCCAGGAGCAGCTCCTGGGCATTTTTAGCAACATCCAGGAGCTCATCGACCTCAACGAGAACTTCCTGGACGTACTCCAGGAAGAGATCGATCAGGCCTTTGACCAGGTATGATGCTGCGTGCTCTACAGGGGCCGAACGAGGCAGACAGGAATAGGTTTTGCGTTAGTGAGGCAGCATAGATGGAGCAGGGGATCAGGAGGTAGGACTCTCGGGTTCTGGTCATCTGCCCAGTCCCTTGTTCCCTCAGCTATTATAAACCTGTGATTTCCATAGACCTGTGCCAGGTCACAGCTGCTGGCCTCACTCACTGCGCTGGTAACACTACTGACATTAGCAGGCCATCAGCAGTCTAGCTCATTTATCCCATTAACAGGATCTAACTGTCCGAAGTTAGATCCGAAGTTTAGAATCTAAATTACCGAAGTTAGCTTTAAGCCAGTTAGCTTGGACACTGATAAGCATGTGACCATGGTGGCACAGAGCTCAGCTTGGTCTGGCCACCAGAGGGATGGAGGGGACCAAGCTCACAGGCCACGCTCTTACCCAACCCTGAGCTGGCTCGCTTCAGGCTGGCTTGGGTGTATTTGCCTTGGGTTGCAGTTTATTGCAGCTTGCCTCTAGGCTGGCTGCAGGGCTAGGCAGCACAGGCTGCTCCCTGCTCTGGTGACAATTGGCCCTTACAGTTCTGTGTACCAGTTGCTTCTACTGATGAACCTGCCTTGCACAAGGGACTTTCCTACCCCATGAGCGTGGTGGTCAGAGGGCAGAGAAATAGAAATAAGACTCTAGAGCAGCAGACAATCGCTGCAAAGAACACATAAACAGCTCCACACCCTCCTTTCTTCAAGAAACCAAAACCCACTTGTTGCTGTATCAGTCTCACCAGGATGTTTTGTTCTCTAGGAAACACATCCCTCCTTTCCCTCTCTAAAACACTGCATGTCAGACTGAGTGACACATGCCTCAAAAACTGGCAACTTTGACAACCACTCTCATGCACCTGGCACAGTGAAGACAGATGTGCACTGCAGAATAATTTATTGAGACAATGGCTTCTACAAACAGCTGTGGGTTTCCCTATCTCCTCCTCCATCTTGCCCTTTGCAGTCAGAGCTCAGTACTGCATCAAGAAGCCTCCAGGAGCCAGAAAGCTGCTCCCTCTCTTGCTGCTCAAATGAGTAGTGATTGCAGAGCATGTCAGCGTACACCTAGACAAAGCTAAGAGCATTATGTGGCACCAGATTCTTACTATTCCCTTATTTTGTTACACATCCAGAAATCAGAGAACAGCTTACCACGAAATTTATTTTTCACTTAGGCATCAAAGTAGCCAGTAAGAGCATAGCCAGCCAGACCAGTTGCTGAGAACAACTGCAGAAGTTGTTAAGTGCCATGTCTGTTACCTGAGTTAACCTCTGTTACCAGAGGCCTCCTCTGCCCATTTGCTCCTCGATGCTCTCTGTTAATTTATGCACTGCTGCATTAGCCTTATGGCAGACCTGCTGGCAAGAAGGGCCCCAGTACACCCTCCTGACTAGCAGGCTCACTCTGGCCTCTGGCCTTTGAGCCTCTACTCTGGTTAGCTGGCTGAGCTCACAGAAGCAGAGAAGACGTCTCTTTACGTGTAGAAGAGCAAGCAGTTAGGCCAGCTTTCCTTCCCTTCCCCACACGCTGCTTCCCCCTGGACCTGCAGGGACTGCCTTTCCACCAGGAAGGGTGAGCCTAGTTCCACCTTTGGTCTGGTGTTCACCAGATCCTGCAGTAGATTCATGCTGATAGGACTGAACGCAGGCTCCATGCTTGTGCCTCTTCCGAGCTAACCCAGCAGGGGCTGTATTGCATGCTTGCAGGGTGATGATGACCTGATGACCGTGTGCATCGGCGAAATATTTCTAGAGTTCGTCAACATGCTGCCAGCCTTTCAGACCTACTGTCTTCAGCAGTCCTCCTCCGTGAATATGCTCAATGCGCTGGAGAAGGAGAAAGAGTTGCTCAGGTGAGAAAAGGGCTGAGTGTATTCTTCCAGGCTTTGGGGACAGAAGGCACCAGAATGAGGGCGAAGCCTTTGTCAACTCAACTAGATCAAAGTTTTGATGCTAATGTTCTTCAGTGATGAGCTGCTCTCTCTTGGGGTGAGCAGAGTAATTTACTCTCCAAAATATCCAAATATTTGGAGAGTAATTTACTCTCCAAATACCCCTTGATGTCTCCACTGAGGCAGCCAGTTGGTCCCCAGCTGTACACTGTATTCTGTGGTACCAGTGTTTGCCCACTGACCACTGGGCTGAACTTTCACCAAGTAACACCCAGCTGAGAACAGCTCTCAGTCCCTGCGCCAGAGCACAGTTGGATTTCCACTGGGGAACGCCACTGTGTGAAGCATGCATGACTTGAATTTGTTTCCCATTTCTAGCCCTGGCCTATTAGGCAATGTCAGGTGAGTCACTTCTCTCTTTCCACTGCAACAGCTTAAAATGATGACGGTACCAAATTCTTGTTTAGAGTACTTTGTAATCTAATGATGAAAGGAGCTACAAATTAATGTAATCTGATACAAACTGATGTATCTGCCTTGGGCCTACGTCAGTGTGTACCAGAGAAAGATCACACCCTCATTGTTTTACGATTTAATAGAAGACTGCCAGGACGTTACGTGCTAGTGTCCAGGCACCTCATCGCTGTTCTGCAGCTAAGCACAGCTTTTGTTGTTAGTTTTTGAGAAGACAGAATTCACAAGGCTGTTAAAACCAGAGAGGGGGCTGCAGTGCCCAGCAGCTGTCAGCACCACACTGTTCATTTGCATTTAGGATTGCAGCATCTGCTGGCAGAACAGCCACCATTTAATTCCCTCTTCTTAAATCCCGGCAGAATATTCCTCAATGTCTCCCAGAATGACAACACAGCACTGCGGCGGATGAACTTGAGGTCCTTCCTGATGGCCCCTTTGCAAAGAGTCACCAAGTACCCACTGCTGCTCAGCAGAATCATCAAGGCCACCACCGAGTACCACCCAGATCATGGCAGCCTGCGGGAGGCCAAAAGCCGCATCGAGTCCCACCTGGAGCACATCAACATGAAAACCAAGCAGGAGGGGAACACGTGGACCCTCCGCTCCTTTCGCCAGGACAGCAAGAAGAAGAGGGAAGTCATCAACATTGAGATGAGAGAAACCGCCCTCAAAACTGTAGGTTGGCTGCGGGAGGAAACGCGATTTGTGATGGAGGGGTCTCTGCAGCTGGCCCAGCCCCCCGACGGCCAGTGGGTGAAGAAAGGCAGCAAGACCCTGAAGTTCCAGAACATGCAGGTCCTCCTCCTGGTGAACATGAAGCGCGTGTCTGAGTCCAGCCTGGAGTCAGCCGAGCCAGGGCCTGTGAAGGACGCTGTGCTGGTACTCATCAGGGACAAAAATAACGGGAAGTTCCATTTGCTCAGGGAGCCCTTGAGGCTGAGTAATTGCATCGTCTCCACTGATCCTGACTGCGACGACACTTTTGAACTCATTGAGATCAGGCGGGAGGCGTTTGTGTTCCGGGACAGCGACCGGGCACGGACTCACCACTGGTTCAGGCAGATCAGGCGGTACTCAAGGGAGCTGGGCTCCTGGAAGAAGCGGCGGAATGCGCTGCCCAACATCATGATCAGCACCCCTCACACCAGGCCCTGAGTCCTGCATGGGCAGCACGCAGGGAGGTTTGGCTTGACCAGTGCCACATGCAAAGGACCATCAAGAGCCTCGGTGGCCTGAACTTGCTCTGCTCCATGGACAACACAGGGAGGAGCCTGGCCCATGAAGACTCTTGGCAGCACTGGAAGCAAGCATTACAGCCTAACTCTGGTCTCCAGCCTCAGGACTCACAACCTGTTTGTGGCTGATGTACATACAGAGATGGGCTTCCCTCGAGGAGCAGATCTCTGGAGGAAAATACTGAGTTTAACTTGTTAATATTGCACTGTGGGAGAATGATATATGATGCTTACCATTGCATGGATTGTGTTGAAAGCCAGTCTTGACAACATGAGAGAGGTTTCCACCATTGACTGTATTTCATCAGCATTAGGTAAAGTCAGGGTCAAAATTAGGTGCAGTATTATGCAACAGGGGAGGAAAGTTGGAGGAAATTATGTTTTCCACTGCTACTCCTAAGGACTATATTTCATTATTCACCTCTGTATATTCAGTCAAAATACTTGTTTAAAAAGGTCTTTCATCTTTAATCCAAATCAAGTAGGTATCAATTTGCTCATTCAGCTGCATGCACACAGCAAAGAAAAAATAAAAACAGACAAGACTAAAAGGAGTTCTTGCTCTCTGACGCATACACCCCAAATATGTGTAGAACCTGTGGAAGAGCAGTATACCCCCACTGAAAGTCTGTTATTTAACTGACTTAGGGACTGGAACATAACGCTGCATCTGATATATCTCAGAAGTGTATGTAAATATATCTCTGCTACCACTAATAGTGAACTTAAAAGTTTGCAATTATTTAAATGATGTAATTTAGTGTATTTCAAAATTTAATTGAAAGGAACAATTTACATTGTACTGTAGAGTAACATAAAAAGTTTTAATAATTATGTTTCAATGACTTTAGGTGGGTATTTTTTTAAATACTTGTTTTCTGGAGTAGATATTTCATTTAGCGTGGGTGGCATTCAGGTGAACAATGTGCCTATGTCTGTTCTTTGGACCCCCTGAACAGAATTCAGGGGCTACTCTTACTGAGACTGGGAGAACAGTACAAGTCTGCTACCCTAATTCTCACTAGACAACAATAGACTGGCACAAAAATCTTACGCTCTGGCTGCAGTCCTACCTGGGCAGGTCAGGCCCCAGCACACCAGACGTGAGAGCCAAAACTGAGGCCACAAAAGCGCTCCCCCATAAGGTCCAGTCTCTCTCAGCTCCGCAGCAGGGAAATGACTTGAAGTTGAACAATGGTAAAAAGGCAAACAGGGTTTAACCTTTTCAGCCTGACATTACCACTGACTGCGGCCTTGCGATTACAGTATCAGCAAAATGTCACGTTCTGACTTACATAGCAAAGGCCAGATTACAGCCCTAGGGGCTAAATTAAAGGAGCCTGAATTTTGGTCGGTGGGTCTCAGAGGACAGCCTGTAAATGTTCTTTCAGCCCCCCAGGGTAAGGACAAAGCCAATCAATCAGTATTATTCACTCCCAACAAAATACTGCTGTTACAAGCATTAATTTTACTGGAGGATTCACACAAAGAAGCATATTTGTGCATTTCTCCAGAGATCAATCAGCATCAGTGAGTGCACAAACGAAGGTGGACGGAGGCTACCTTCACGTACGTACCCCTAGTCTTGTCAAGTCACCACTGACCCAAGGCCTGAGCAGGCCTCCACACCATGCCCAGTGCTTTGTCCTTCTGCCACAGGTGCCGGGGCTTGTTACACTGCTCCAGGCACTGAGGCAGACACCAGCAGTGAGACATGTGCATACTGGCTGTATTTTCTCTTCATCTGCACTGTCCAGCATTTTTGTCCTTGAAATGGGAGTTGTTGCATCATCGGAGGCTTTACAAACACGTACCCAAGATGCGAGGGTGGCAGCACACAGCTGAGCGCTGTAGCAAGTGATAGCTGGCAAAATGCTTGTTGGGGCAGCAGCCTGACTCCCTCAAGTGAGTTGAAATTCCCTCCAGCTATTTCTAGTTGTTAGACAATAAATTGTGTGTTGCCCCAAAATACGCACTGAACGGCCAGTGACGAGCACGAGGCATTGCTTTTATAAGTTTGTTGCCTGTTTTTCAAATAGATGGATGCCTAAGCAGAGCAGCTGCTGGACGAAGATCTCTCTGACGCTGTCATGACAGATCTGCATCTAACAGCCTTCAAGCCCCATTCACCTAACATACAAAAAGCAACAGCTTGTAGTCAATTCGTTTTCTCTCCCAAGATCAAAATGGCGCAGCTACCTTCTCTTCATTACCGCCAGTGGCAGTTCTGATAAGGGAAGGCGTAAGTACAGTAAGCCTCATAGCTTAATTTATCCAAACGGCGAGTGGCTTTCGCAGCCACAGAAAGTTGCTGCTTTCTGGAAAGTTTTCAATTACTTTCCAGCACAGTGACTTTCTCCACACCAATTCACACTCAGAACCAGCCGTGGACTGTTTGTACAGTCATATCTTTAAATCAAGATACCGTCAGTCACCCTGGCTGTTCAAAAAGGTTAGAGAACAATAAGTATATGTAAAAGCTCTGATATTTAGCATCAATCTTGCATTTGGGTGATTGTTCAATTTGTCAGATGCATGGTTTTTCTAGGTATATCAGAGGAAACACCTGTGTGCCAGGCTGCTAGTAATCATGGCCTATTTCCTTTGAACCAGGCAAACTCTCCCCAAAAGAAGGTCCATAAATAATCACCGGGTGTTGAGTTATGAGCAGGATGTGTACGTGGTGCTGTAGCCCTGTCCTAAAAAACCTGCGGCCAGGGAACTGTACAAGCTCTTTGATCTGGGACAGCCTGCTACAGGAAGCGACAGCCCGATTGTTGAACCTGTCAAACTAGACAGAGGTTGTGCTTCCAATGTTATTTATCTTTTATGTATGCGGTGTGTACTCAGCTGCTTGCCTGCCTTTAAATTACAGGTGTTGAAAGGGAGCACAAGTACAGGACAATCTCTGTGGCCCCACGAGCGCTCGTGCTGTGGGGTCAGCCTGCGCAGGAAGGGCAGGGAGTGTCAGCACACTGACAAGGCAGTAGGTTTCTGTAATCCCCAGGCACCTTTCTGAACTGGATGATCCCTCTCCTGGGAAGTTCCAGGTCTTTCACGTGTACACACCTTATTTGGCAGCCCTGGAGATTAGTTGTGCTGTATTTTTCCATTTCTGATTAACAAACCTGACAAAATGCTATTATAACCCAGGGTACTTGGGAATGGGGCTGTCTGTAAGCCAAGACAGCAATTATTTGTTCCAAACTGGCCATCCTAGGGCTCCGTAATATTTTTATGCCTCTCAGAAGTCATGACTGACAATATGAAGATTACTTTTCAAGACTCCTGCCCGCTGAACTTACCCTGCTAGTACAAGCAGGCCTCTCTGGAAGTACCATGGTTGGGGGGAAAAAAAGAGAAAGTCAGATTACTCCCTTGATTTATCAGAACTCATAGATGACCGTTACAAGAATTTGGAATGAGCCTTGCTGGTCATCTACCAGGAAAACAACAGGCAGTCTTCATCACAGAGTCCATGTAGATTTGAGCTCAAGGCAGACACACAAGACGACACAACACTGGATGAAGAGTCCCATCAGGTCCCAAGGAAAGAAGGAATAGCTACTTTAAGAGTCAGCAGCCTGGGTGGGAAAGCCTGAAAAAAACACGGGGAGATGAAGAGCAAATACTTTAGGGGGCAGAGACTTCTGCTTTAGTGAACAGAGATCTTCTCTTTTATGGTGTTCTTGTACATTCCTGGTTGTCCTTAACAGAAGCGAGGATGGGGAAGGGGTGTTCAGCATGGGTCTCCACTATGTGATCAGGAACACATCTGAAAGGGAGCACCAGCTTTGGTCTGGCAGCAAGAAGCTATTGCAGCTGCCGTTGGAGACTGAGACCTCAGCACATCCCAAATCCTGAAAAAAAGCTCTGAGATAATCTCACATCTCCTGCCTTGGGGAACTTCAATCATTCAATGCACGTGAATCTATTACGGAGCTAACGTCTCGGGAAGGCAGATCTCCAGCAGGAGATTCTGGTGAATCTTGCACTCTCTTGCTTCTCCCTGACATCCTCAAAGGGAAGATAATTCAAATCTTCTAGCACCACGTCAAAGATACCCCTTCAGGGCTCATGGATGAGGCAGCTGTAGTAACTCTCTTTTCATGATATCAGCCGTGTCTCCTCTTAAATGTATGCTGGGGAACCAGGTGAGATTAAGCTGGAATGAGGCTGACATTCTCTGACTTGAAATTGGAAAAACCTGGAACCAAAAGCAATGGAGGAAACTGTCCTCCTGACGGAGATCAGATAAATGTTCAAAGATCTCACTGTCACCGTTGAGTGACCTTCTGTCACTACAGTGGAACATGACAGAGCAAAAAGCCTTACCGATCAGGCAGACAAAGGATCTGCCTCATTTCTCACAGAGGCTGCTGCAGAATATCCATATTGACTAGAGACAGGTACAAGTAATTAAAAAAAAAAATCAAAGTTTTGACAATAACACTGCACAGTCCAAAAACTCCAGGCAAGGCCCAAGGGCACTCTAGGCATCTCCCTCAGGAAGCTGAAGGTGATCCCCTAAGGGAAACCTTTCTACAACATGGATGGAAAAGCTGAGCGATAGGAACATAGAGGGTCCTCTTCAACAGAGAGTGAAGAACCCTAACGAGGAATCAGAACACAGGCAGAGAATCCTCCAGCAGTGGTCTCTGCCCAGCCTTGACCAGGAGCAGTTACACGGCTGGAAAAGGTTGAAAAGCTGGCGTTAGGCTCTAGGTCCATTAGCAGGGATGAACGCAATGATAATTTGCAACTCTCCAGCTCAAATCCTGCCCCAGTGCGATCTCCACCAGCGCAGGCTTTGCATCCCTGAGAAATGATCTCAGCTGCAGGTGAAACCACCCAGACTGCAAACAGCCCTCCCGGGGAAGGTGCTCTGCCTAGGAGCAGGCAAAGGAACCCTTCGTTTCA